TTACAATGAGAAAACATGCTGGAGCCTGCTCTGTCAGTGGGAGGTGTTGTCTGACGTGGACCAATCAGCTTCAAGCATGACGTCACCAGTGTTGTAGCTAGTTGGCCTCCATAAAATCTGTGAGTAAAAGCGTGCGTAATCCTATGCCGTTCATATAAGCCTCCTGACTAAGGGTTGCTCCAAGTGTAAATCTTGTTTAGTGATATGAATCACTTATTCCAAGCAGGACGAAGGAGGCTGTCGAGACGTATGTCTGTATGGATCTAGTTGATAGGATATAATACCTAATCCCCACGCTGAGTGACGAGTGTTAATACGATCATCTGTACGTCCATTCAAGTATTCTTGAAGGCGATGTTAACCTTAAGCCCTTTCCAAAGGTCCTCTTAAGGTTCTTGAGATATTGGCTTCATAAGTGATATCATATTGGAGTCGAAGTCATCAGCGTATATGCAGTACATCTCTGTTGGGTTGGAGTGAGTGAGTGAAATACAATATCCGCAGGCCATCTGCTACCCGGTATAAGACCCCAGTATCCGTTTCAATCATTGCTTCGTTTTATTCAGCCGTATGGTAATAGAGTCGACGTCAACATCCTGCCTGTTGATGTAAGGGTTTGTTAACCCTAGGGTTTGCAAACCCTGTAGATGTCTACGTTGCTGTTATCTGCCTGTAGATCTGAGAGTTCTCGAACCTTGTAGATGTCTGTAGCTTTCTCAAAGCTGTGCATTAGCAATCCATGCTGTAACTTATGAGTCTGGGAAGACGAGGTCCGTTTGCAAGACCAAAGTCTCCTGATTATTAGAGCTAAGTCTCACAGTTCATCCATCTGCAAACCTGTTTCCCTTCTCGAACCTTCATCCTCGTTTCGCGAACCTCTATCTGAAGATTCCTCCCTATGCGAACGTCTATCTTGAAAGTGTTCTGTCCGCGAACCTCTATCTGTGGATACATCGCTTCGCGAACCTTGTGAGGTGAGCTTTCTCTGCGCGAACGTTTTGCGAACCTCTAGCTTGAGGTGAGTAGCTTCGCGATCGTCTGTGCGAAATATGAGATCTCGATCTAGAGAGACTAGGTGTAGGAGCAGGATCCTTCAATGTTCTCGAACTTTGAGGGTTCGCAGACGTAGATAGAGTAGGTAAGTCATCTCTATCATCCTCCAAGGTGACAGTCGTCCCACTGTGTGGACCTTCGTAAAGGTGTACGTTCTCGAACATTGAGGGTTCGAAGATGTAGATAGAGTAGGTAAGTCATCTCTATCATCCTCCAAGATGACAGTCGTCCGACTGCGTGGACCTTCGTAAAGGTGTACGTTATCGAATGTTGAGGGTTCGCAGACGTAGATAGAGTAGGTAAGTCATCTCTATCATCCTCCAAGATGACATTCGTCCGACTGCGTGGACCTTCGTAAAGGTGTACGTTCTCGAACGTTGAGGGTTCGCAGACGTAGATAGAGTAAGTCATCTCTATCATCCTCCAAGATGACAGTCGGCCCACTGTGTGGACCTTCGTAAAGGTGTACGTTCTCGAACGTTGAGGGTTCGCAGACGTAGATAGAGTAGGTAAGTCATCTCTATCATCCTCCAAGATGACAGTCGTCCGACTGCGTGGACCTTCGTAAAGGTGTACGTTTTCGAACATTGAGGGTTCGCAGATGTAGATAGAGTAGGTAAGTCATCTCTATCATCCTCCAAGATGACAGAGTCGTCCCACTGTGGAGACCTTTGTAAAGGTGTACGTTTTCCAAAGTAGCCTTGAGGTATAGATCCAAGAGGAGTAGATTTGCGCAGGCCCGTGGGTTCGCACCTATCCTTAGGTTTGCACACGGTTTCGGTAGATGAGAGGCTTTTCTTAGCCTTCAATTCCTTCTGGAATCTACGTTCCATCATGGACATCACTGAAGTTCTGCATAGGTTGACGCTGCTGAGATGTAGATGAAGCGTTCGCGAACACTGATGAGTTATGTGCCTCAACTTCACTCCGAGAAGTAAGAGGTAGTACGTCAACAGCTTCCTGCTGTGACTGTAGTAGAGGACGATCTCGTAGTAGTAGAGGTCGACTGAGTCGCAGATCTCATGGATACTTCAGGTAGAAGTAAAGGGCGTCCGTCAAAAACGTCTAGTACGCGAGGAGGTACAATCTCTTTGTTGAAGGATTCCTGGTGCATAGATGAACTAGCACATGTAGATTTGCCCTCCGTCTGGTAACAGCTGACTTCTTCTGCGTTGTAGAAGAGGATGACGTCTTTTTCTTAGTCTCAGACGGAGTCGACTGATATGTAGACGATCTCTTCCTGACCCCCTTACCAGCAGACTGCCCCTGTATGCAATATACGGTTTGAAGGCTGATCTGCAGTTTTTATCAATCGTGACTTTCTCACCCGATCCATGCACGTCTATAGATACAGGCATCCCTCGCCATAACGCGGGTCTTGGGGTCCAAGGATGACCCCCCGCGTTATTAGACACCCGCGTTATAAATAACGATTACATAACGCGGAACAAAGGCCAAGTAAAATCGTATTTTCCATGGACATAACAAAACTGCTATTTCGTGTATTGTGCCCAGTCAAAACTATATCGTATTGTTGGAGGTGAAAAAAACCCAGAACTTTGTAAATAAAAAATAGATGTATGTACATGAAACTTGCAATCAAACATCACAAGACATGATAATTCAATTGTTGTTCCTGTCACGCTACCTGTTATTCAACTAACAGGAAATAGCAATCAGCTGGGCACACATCGATGTTTTGGTCCAATGTACCGGTGATTCATTTAAAAACGATCCGAAAATATAACATCCAAGAATTTCTATTCCATTATCAGAATAATTGATATGTCAAGCAGTTATTCTAACAGAGATCTTATATATTGCTATCGTATAAGTTTCTAAGCTGCCTAGCGGTTAGAACAATCAAAAAAAAAATACATTATCAGACAATAAAGGAATAGTTTTTTGATGACATAACAATTGATTGATTTTTCCCGTCACTGCGCCATTCTAGTGTGCCCCCTCGTAATCGAACCATTTTACATTACGTCACAATGTAAGCGACGTCACGATGCATGTCAGTTGTCATCGCCTCGTACGGCCTCCTACAGTAAACTACACCGTTGCATCCAATTTCTTGGTTTGCTGTTGCTTCACCCAGCTAACATCACTGGTGGAAACATTACGTTTATGTTTTACGACGGTTAAAATGTGTCATTTAAGCCTCACAAGTTTTCAGCGACACGGAAACGTTAAGTAATGTTTACATTCCCACAATGCAATTGTGGAATGTCGCTGACTACTCAACTTCCTCTGGATGTACTGATCTAAACTTACGCTGGTAGTAGAAATGCAAGCGTTCACATTGCACCATATGGTTTACGTTAATGACAGATGTAATTAAAATAATTCAGAGAAGATATTTAATCCGAACGTAAACCGTCATCAAACTGTTATCATTTGTTTTTTTCTGGTAATGTTCGTCTTAACGTAGGGGGCAGACACATCAATAGAACAGCGCGCCAGTTAGCCCTGTGCGAGGATTCCTAATTTAGGTCACCGACACCGTCATTTGTTTTCTGCCTTCAATTAATCGTAATTATCTTTAGAAAGTATTAAATTTGGCATCTTAGAAAAGAAATACACTTCGCCCTACCACCATGTATTTAAAAAATACACTTCGCTCTACCACCATGTATAGTGTAATAAAACACACTTTTGCCCTGAACTATTATAGTTAAAGCACGAGGACACTTGCGTCCGAGTGCTTTAACGTTATAATAGTTCAGGGCGAAAGTGTGTTTTATTACACTATACATGGTGGTAGGGCGAAGTGTATTTCTTTTCTAAGATGCCAAAGCACGAAAGCGGGTGTTGTATGGAATGAGGTAATGCCATTTCACTCACGGTTTCTCCGTTGTTATTGTAAACAGTTTTAATGAATGAAAATGGGATTGAATTTAATCAAATAAAATGTGTTTTCTGACATCATACATTCTCGGATGGCGGTGTATACCCGCGCAATTACACGGTGTGTTGCATCATAGCAAACGTTGTAAGTACTTGGCTGATAATCGACATGTCTTTATGATAAAGTTATTACGATGTTTCGCTGTTCATCAATTATTATTGAAAAAGACCCTGCATGTTTTAAGCATCTGAAAAGCAATGGATATATACGATAAACACTGTTAATTGCAATCCGCACTGAATTTCACTAATTTATTACGTGATTAACCAGAGCTCAACAGCGGATTTGTTGATGTGCTATTTTCGATGACGTGAATATGTGTGATCACTGGGAAACTGTTTTTTATGGGAGCCATGGATTACCCCGCGGTTTAACAGAATCCGCGGTATCGCGAAGAGCGTTATTGCGAGGGATGACTGTATAAGACAAATATTGATTAATTGAAGATTTGATAAATCAATACAATAACTACAGCGCAAGCTGGAGGAACATGGATTTATTCACCAAGGACATTGGGGGTGAGGATCCACCACGGATAACCTGTGCCTGCAAATAATGCAGGATTTCATGAAATGTAAACAACGTTACATGACGATGAATTTAAAACTCAAAGTTAATAAATTTTTTACAAAATTTTACAAATACTAAATAGTAGTTATAGCCAAATCCATATACAGCGTAATTTGAAGAATAGGTCTAAATAAAAAGTGTATGATGCCGTATACGGGACTCCAGTGCTCGCCCGTACTGACAAGTAAGGCACATCACATGACTGGTTTGCATGGGAAAAGGCAAAGGGAGGTAACTCGTGGGTGAGTGTATTTATACGTCCACTTCGGGAACTTCAAAGGATTCAAGTGTTCCACTACCATTCGAAGAGGAAAGGGAGATAAGCAAAAGATCATGAGTCAGGATAAGGAAAAATTTGATATTTCATACTTATCCTGACTCATACTTATTGCTATATCTCCCTTTCCCTCCGAAATCACAAACAATTTTCAGCTCCTTGACAGAGATGATACAACTCATGACCTACACAAGTAGTCTTTTGTGGCTTGCTGGAATAGTTCCTCCATCTTCAGACGATCTCCCTCAGTAGAGACAAGAGGCACCTCATCTCTCAGCCACTCCAACCACAGTTCTGTAAGAAAGGACATGCATCAGTCAAATCACCGAGTCTGATATCACCTCTGATGCAGCGTAAAGCAACTTTCAGTCAGTCGCTCACTGATATCAACTGATCATAATAGTTGCCTGTCAGGATAAGTATGGTTCGCTGAGGACCAGTTTGAACTGAGCTTCACTTTAAACAAGCATGGGTTTATATTTTTAAGTCATAATGTCCAGTTCCAACTCAGATATTCAACAGGGCTCTAGCATAGGGTCACTCAGAGAACCAGATACATATATTTGCCTCAGGACAGTTAAATTAAGGTTAATCCCCTCCAAAACTGCCACATTTCTACCTTCACTTAGGGGGAATATCTCGCTCATCTTCTCCCTGGCTTTCCGCAACTGTTCGAGTTCCCCTGCCTGTCGGAGCGCTGTGATCAGTTGAGTGTGAAGATCGTACATGTATGGATTCTCAGTCACCTGAAACACAGTGTTTAGAGTGCTGTGATCAGCTGTATGTGGAGATGTAGATGTATGGGTTCTCAGTCACCTGAAACACAGTGTTTAGAGTGCTGTGATCAGCTGTATGTGGAGATGTAGATGTATGGGTTCTCAGTCACCTGAAACACAGTGTTTAGAGTGCTGTGATCAGCTGTAGGTGGAGATGTAGATGTATGGGTTCTCAGTCACCTGAAACACAGTGTTTAGAGTGCTGTGATCAGCTGTATGTGGAGATGTAGATGTATGGATTCTCAGTCACCTGAAACACAGTGTTTAGAGTGCTGTGATCAGCTGTATGTTGAGATGTAGATGTATGGATTCTCAGTCACCTGAAACACAGTGTTTAGAGTGCTGTGATCAGCTGTATGTTGAGATGTAGATGTATGGATTCTCAGTCACCTGAAACACAGTGTTTAGAGTACTGTGATCAGCTGTAGGTGGAGATGTAGATGTATGGATTCTCAGTCACCTGAAACCGTTGTTTGGAGTGTCAGTACAGTCACAACGAGAAACATCTGGCAATCACATGAGTAGGGCTTATAGCCTGTTTAACTTCTAACGAAATAGCACTTGCATTGGGATGACAAACTTTATGGATGATCAACTCCTTTATTTTCACAATGGCACAATACCGTATTTTCACAATACCGTTTTCAAGCAACAGTATAAGAATCTATACCAAAATGTCGCCATTCTAGCATGCCACTCAAACAAATCACTTACATTTAGTTTTGCAATGGTATTAGAAGATAATTATCCCACCAGTTCCACATAAACATGATAAATCCTCAGATCTTGCTTCTGCTAAGGAAACAAACCCTAACCCGGAATCAATTCTTAGTCTAGCCATCGAAATAAAACATTTGAATTATGAAAATATCAAAGGGCACCAGTTCAATACTTGATTGATGCACATGTAAAGCTTTAGAAATATATACAATGACATACTACATACATGCATACATACATACAGACATACATACAGACAGACAGACAGACAGACAGACAGACAGACAGACAGACAGACAGGCATGCATGCATGCATACATACACACACACACACACACACATACATACCGACATACAGGCATACACACATACATGCATGCATACATACATACATACATGCATACATACATACAAACAAACATTTGTACAGCGCCGATATCCAGTATCCTTGTGGTTGACATACTGAGTGCGAGACCATTAATGGATGTTTTTGAACAATTTCATGCATTTCCACCTATCTTTTCTCCAATATTTTTCTATTTATAAAATCATTTGAACACCCATGACCTTAAATTGTGTTCCCACTAATCAGCATTGATTGGAACACATTTGTCATGCAAAGATATTTTTATTCCCATCAAAAGTGAACATTTTATGTACGGTTGTCATTTTTTCCTGTTTTGTTAGGGGTTCTGGTTGTCCTGACGATGCCATTTTTATATGTTTATTCATATGAAGAATATGGACAACAAAAATTCATAAAAATTATTTTTCTCTTTCTTATGGTTCATATTTTTCTTATAATAATATCACATGTTTACAGTTTAGTAAAACTACGTGAAGGTAAATGACTGAGTGAAACCTTTTGCTGGAGTTCGCTTATTTTCAGCTCAAGCTGTTCCTCGTTTCCACTATCCGAACTGTCAGAGTCTGACTTTCCCTCAGGGTCCATGTCCTCCTCATCAACATCGGAACCATCTTCGTCTACGAGCATCTTATCCACGTTTTCCGCCATTTTGTTGAAAGTTAACCTCTTTAGTTTCCCAGGCTAGAGAGCGATTAAGTAAGGCGTTTTCGATTGGGTTAACCGGTAGTAAGCTTACACGCCAATATGGGTGCGTGTGGTTCGAGTTGATATTTCAATCGAATTATACAAGTAAGGGTACAAGGATCGGGAGATACCAATTTTATCCTTCAGTTTGTATTTAATTTACGCGTAGACTCCCAGCTTCTGTGGGCTCGTGACAACGGACATGATACATTGGACACGTAAATGGACTTATATATGTTACAGGGAATGTGTGAAATCAGAGACTATATAATAGCTGGTGAAACCAGGGATTTCACGTAATCCCTAAAAGATTCAGTGATTTCGTGAAATCACTGTGACCCCCAGGGATTTCATGTATTCCCTAAAATTTTAAGAGATTTCATGAAATTACTGATTTTCATGGCGTTCCATTACACACATTCCCTGTTAGGATATCAGTGAATGTGTGAAATTAATGTTTGTAGCTAAAAACTTTACTGTTGAGTCTCATTTCATCCCTTAGTTCTTAGGAGTTGAAAACTTTGACAATTTACCGAGGACACTTTTGGCTAATTACTACCTTGAGTCGGGGAACCACGTTAATTTACTCACGGCTTTACTGTTTAGTCTCATTTCATCCCTTAGGTGACCCGTGAAGATCCGGGGTAGAATAGGTCTTCAGCAACCCATGCTTGCCACAAAAGGCGACTATGCTTGTCGTAAGAGGCGACTAACGGGATCGGGTGGTCAGGCTCGCTGACTTGGTTGACACATGTCATCGGTTCCCAATTGCGCAGATCGATGCTCATGATGTTGATCACTGGATTGTCTGGTCCAGACTCGATTATTTACAGACCGCTGCCATATAGCTGGAATATTGCTGAGTGTGGCGTAAAACTAAACTCACTCACTCACTCATCCCTTAGGTCTTAGGAGTTTGACTATTTACTGATGACACTACGTCAAGCTAAGAGAGGGAAATCACCGGGTTTCGATAATATTCCAGATGATGTTTTGAGAAATGACATCTGAATAGATTATCTTCATAAATTGTTTTCTACATGTTATGAGACTGGTCATGTACCCTCCAACTGGGCCCAGGGGATCATTACCCCTACCCCTAAGTCTGGAGCTGACAACCCGTGAGACTCAATGCCTTATCAAGGCATCACACTAGTGCATCTTTTATTATGATTGAATGAATGAATGAATGAATCTCTTTATTTCCTCCAGATTGTAGTCCGAAGATCATTATAAACATGTACATGAAATATTTACAGCAACATAATCACAGCAATATATTCACAACACATTCATATAGTCATATATACATGTACAGAGAAAAATGAAAGTTCTAGAATGCACAGTTTAGTGAGGGAAGCAAGGAATAAAGGTATTTACAGAAGAGGACAATCATATATCTCCATGACATTTCATCAATATCGTTAGTTACTAGTAGTTCACCCCCAGAAAATAGTGTTAACATTTCATCTTCAGATAATAATTCTATTTGTTCATAAACATCCACATCAAAGAGATCTATAAGTTTTGAAAAGAAATTATTTCTGTTGTACATATAGTGTTCACAGTGTAGAATTGCATGGCAGTCATAATCATTACAATAACTTTTGCAGAGTTCACAATGTTTTGAGAATTTTCCCCTTGAGCTGATTTGTACACAAAACTGTAATATATCTTTAAACTGTGGGTAAAAATACATCAAACAATACAATCTATGTACACCAAAGAAATTGTGGGTCAAGCGATATCTATTCATATCGTGCCTTACACACACGTGAGAAATCCATCGTTCAGTTTCAGATTTATTTACACAATTAATAGTTATTCTTCGCCATGACGATTTACATGGAAACCTTCCAATATCGAGATAGTGACTAAGATAATTGAAGAGATTGTATTTTAAACTGGTTTGAATAAGTGTGTCACATATACTATGTAAGACAGCTGTTCTATTTTGAAAGGTGGCTAAATGTACACAGAAAATATCCTTCAATGAAGAATTACAATTGCTGTTGCACAGCTTGCCGAGAAATAATAGTCTACATTTATCTATATAACCATCCATGCTCCACAATCCAAGGTTACCTAGCACTGAAGCAGAGGAAAAGCGCTTACCGAAACCCTGAATGCATCTGGCAAAATATCTCTGTGTACTTTCTACCAAGTCATAATCTTTACCTCGAAGAATGGGTAAAAGTTCACAACCGTAAAAGCTCGTTGAAAGTATCATTCTTTTCCATATTTTAACAGAAGAAGTAGGGTGGAGATCTTTACCATTTAAACCAAGACTTTTTAGAGAATTTACAGATTGCCGTGCTTTCTGGCAGTATGAATATACTCTAGATTATGGGGATAGATCAGACGAAAGTAAAATGCCTCCATACTTAACACAATCACTTATTGGTATGTCTGAATCACCAAATTTGAAAGAATAATTACCCAAACGTTTCTTATATTTGCAGAAAATGACACAAGTGCTTTTAGAACCGTTATACGTTAGACGCCACTTACAAGCATAGCTATAAACAGTATTAATTGATGATTGAAGACCTTTTGGAGAAGTAAACGTAGAAGCAAGTGTTGTGTCGTCAGCCAATAGAATACATGGGATATTAATGCCACTTACACAAATGCCATTGTTCAAATCTCTAAGTTCACATATCAAATCATTAATAAAAACAAGGAAAAACCAGGAAGACAAGACTCTACCTTGCCCAACACCTTGCTTGATAACATATTCATTTGATCTCAGACCACAATATTGCACAAAAGCAGAGCTTGATGTATAACTTTGATATAGGAGCTGCCATATTTTGCCTTGTATACCCATTTGATATAGCTTTAAAAAAGATTCCATTATGCCATATGCGATCAAACGCCTTCTCATTGTCCATAAAGGCTGTATAAACTGGAGAACCTCTGCTTAGATAATATGATAAGCTTTCATTTAGAGTAAAGACTGAAGTGGTTGCTCCATGTTCCTTTCTAAACCCAAATTGGAGCTTGTCTGGAAATGAGGGTATGTATTCTTGTACCCAGATTTCTAGTCTAGCCAATAAGACTTTTTCCAAAAGTTTACCAATACAAGAAGTTAGAGTTATTCCTCTATAATTTTTGGGATCAATTTTTCGCCTTTTTACCTTTATATATTGGAATAATTACACCTCTTCTGAAAGTGCTAGGGACATATGTAGATCCTAGAATAGAGTTAAAAAGTACCGTTAACGTATTTACGATGTCATCACCACCATAAATAAGATGTTCATTGTGAATACTGTCCGGGCCAGGAGATTTATTTCTGTGGAGATCACTGATATGTTCCTTTACTTCATCACTTTCAATATGTTTACATAAAATATCTTCTTTGCAGGAGGATTGTTTCTGGCTTATATTTCTAACCTTCCTGTCAACTGTTATTTGAAAGTTGCTATCAAATAATGGAGAGTAATGAGGTTTGGCGAGATCTGCAAAGTAATCACCCCATAGTTCACAAATATCTTCTGCTGTGTTTGCACATTTATCACTAAATACTAGCTCTTTAACAACTGGACTCTGTCGCCTCATTTTGCGAACTGATTTAAAGAAAGTACCTATATCAGCATCGGAACACCTTTCTAATTCGCTACTTAAGTCTGACCGCTGTTTCCGTTTAGACTTACGATGTAATCGTCTAAATTCCCGCTTAGCTGATTTGTAATTAATGTACAAAGGCGAGTTACCTGTCCTTGGTTTACCATCAACCAACCACTCGCGTCTAGCTACACGCATATTGTAATACCCTCCAACTGGGCCCAGGGGATCATTACCCCTACCCCTAAGTCTAGAGCTGACAACCCGTGAGACTCAATGTGTTATCGAGGCATCACACTAGTGCTTCTTTCTTTTATTATGATTTGTCGTTGGGTGTTGATATAACGATATCAACGTTGTGTACCAATATTCCTTTTGTAGTTTCAAAAGTTACAGAGGTTGTTTTTAGCGATTTCGTTTATGAATTGAAACAGGACCTTTTACAAGTTGGTAGTTTAACTGGTAGGGGAGGTAATAAGTTACACTACAGTATTTTAAAGTTGGATTTTGCAGTGATTTTTATGTTAATTGTAATGTCTCGCTCTATGAGAAAGCAATAGCTTTGTTTAGGTGTGCGGTAACGCCGCTTAGAATCGTCCCATCGGTAGTGTTATGAACAAAATATCCACTGGTTGTATTATCAGCAAGATATCCACTGGTTGTGTTATGAACAAGATATCCACTGGTTATGTTCGCAGCAAGATATCCACTGGTTATGTTAGCAGCAGGTTATCCACTGGTTGTGTTAGCAGCAAGATATCCAGTGGTTGTGTTAGCAGCAAGATATCCACTGGTTGTGTTAGCAGCAAGATATCCACTGGTTGTATTATCATCAAGATATCCACTGGTTGTATTATCATCAAGATATCCACTAGTTATGTTAGCAGCAAGATATCCACTGGTTATGTTGGCAGCAAGATATCCACTGGTTGTATTAGCAGCAAGATATCCATCGGTCCAGTTAGCAGCAAGATATCCACTGGTTGTATTATCATCAAGATATCCACTGGTTGTGTTAGCAGCAAGATATCCACTGGTTGTGTTAACAGCAAGATATCCACTGGCTGTGTTAGGAACAATATATCCACTGATTGTATTATCAGCAAGATATCCACTTGTTGTGTTAGCAGCAAGATATCCACTTGTTGTGTTAGCAACAAGATATCCACTGGTTGTGTTAGCAGCAAGATATCCACTGGCTGTGTTAGCAGCAAGATATCCACTGGTTGTGTTAGCAGCAAGATATCCACTGGTTGTGTTAGGAACAAGATATCCACTGGTTGTGTTAGCAGCAAGATATCCACTGGTTGTGTTAGCAGCAAGATATCCACTGGTTGTGTTAGTAACAATATATCCACTGGCTGAGTTAACAGCAAGATATCATCTGGTTGTGTTAGGAA